CAATTAATTAATTGAAATGAATGCATTAAAATCCCAGGACTACTTTAAATCCTTTACTTATATTAAAGTCTTCCATCAGTAGCAGCAATCACATTGAAGAGTGTTGCCATGGGAACACTCGCTGCAGGCTGATGATGCTCGTGTTTTGTTTTTGTTTTTTTTTGCTGTTGAAAGAATTTTTACAACAAAACAGCACTGTCTAATGTAAGTTTAAGTTGTTTTTTTTTAAGACAGCATTTGTGATGTTCTGACTGTATGCATGGAGCTAAAGAAAAGATCATGCTTTTATAAACCTGATTTTTTTTTTTTTTTGCCACTTTCATCAGCATTTAAAATGAAGTCTAAACGTACATTTACTAATCTCTATATTATTACCTTTTTTATGTTTGCTGCTTCGTGCAGGACAAAAAGGGATTGGCTTCAAGTCTGTGTTTAAGGTCACAGATTGTCCTGAGATCCACTCCAATGGCTTCCACCTGCGCTTCGACAAGAACTGCGGCCCCATGGGATACATCCTCCCCCACTGGAGCGAAGAGGAGAGGCCTCTGGATGCACAGCTCAAGGGCATCCATCTACAGAGGTAGGATTGCTGGTTCTTTTTTATGTTGCTCTATTACACAGACCAACCAAGACCATCTTTTATTTGCCTCCTTTTTTAGCTGGACCACAAAAATCTGCCTTCCATTGCGTTCTGAAAGTCATCAAACAAGGAACCTGTTCCATGACGTTCATCCCTCCCTGCTGCTCTTTCTGCACCGCCTGCGCTCCATCACCATCTGCAACCAGGTCGGTCATTGTTTGCACATGCAGATGTTTGTATGCAGTTTGTCTACGTTAATAATGTACCCTTCTAATAAAAGAAACATCTTTTTTTTTTTTTTATCACTTCTGCCTCCATCTGCAGAGCGAGAAGCGTCTCGTGACAATGACTCGCAAAGATCTTAGTCACAATGTGTTGGAGGTGGAGCACACAGAGGGCACAGAGCGCTGGCTGGTGGTGAAAACCACACTGCAGCCCAAGAAGGTAAAGCAAATTTCTTAAATACAGTCACACTTTTTATTTCAGAACCAGCTTAAATTGATACTGTTCCTGATATATAGGCAAATTATTTCTAATAAAGATCCAACAATAAAAACCAGAGGTTACTTTTCATTGTCTTAATTTGTGAAAATAGTTTAAAGAAATTCAAAATACATTTACAAAAATACTTCTACAGACAAGAAATCTACAGACAACTTTGTATTATTTTTGGGGGAAGTTAAGTTACTCTGGGATTCTTAAATTACAGTCCGGCACCTTTTAGGCTCTCTCTGCTTCTACACTCATGAATCCAATAACTGAAATACCTCCTCAATATGCAGTTAAGGGATTCATCTGAATAGTGCGTATAGGAGAGGACACCTAAGCCAAAATGGAAATGTGTTAGCCGTTGTCGTGAAAGGTGCTCTCCGAATTTGTCTGGCAGTAAAGAAGAAATGAGGAAGAGTAAGCAGTAGGTTTTTTATTGATAGTCTTTAGCAAAGGAACCTACAAATGTTTCCATTTGGCACTTAAGAATTATGTGGATTCCCACAATCCTTTGCATGACAGGACTTTGTTCATGTGAACTCTGTATGAGACACACCTCTTTATGTTTTGGGTTTAAAACGGAGAGCTTCAGGCGTTCGGTGCATTGATGAGTCTTTCTAGTTGTTTTCTGGACGGCTGTAGTCCCATTTTGATGTTAATTTCTATCACGTAATGACATCCAGCTACCTGAGTGAAGTTGGCCCCCCCACCTTTTTTAAATCAGACAAAATTAGTGTCAAAAGTTTGTACTACGTTTGTGCTGGTTTGTGCAGCAAAAATTTTTGTTTGTGCCGCAATTATTTTAAAGATATAAAGAGATGTTTCTAGAGGTCATCAAAGGTCAACCAGCCCACTCAGGTCATCCGGCTGTCCTGATTTGTTACCATGTTTCTACTGCTGATCCCATGAAAGAAGAAGGAACAGGAGCTAAGAAGATGAGCAGGGGCTACTGAAATCTGGATGTTTCTTAGACAAACTTTATTGTCATTTTGTATACACAGTGTATACAAAACGAAATTTCGTTTATACAGATTTTGACGGGGAATGAGCAGCTTAGCAGTGAAAAAGAACATTTCCATTCATAAAGTGAAGCAGTGATCAAATGTACATAGTGTGAGAGCATTGCAAAAATAAATAAATATATATGGTACCATGTAGTGCAAGTATGACGTTATCAGTGTGATGCAGAGTCTCGATTTGTGACCTGATTTAGAGTTTCTGAGTTACTTGGTACCCGCTGTGATTCAGAGATACGGTGAAACCTCGTTTATCGCAGGGGTTACGTTCCAAAAAGAACCCGCGATAGGCGAAATCCGTGAACAAAAACTTTTTAGAGGCCCAAACATTTGTTTAACAAATAAAAGTTAAGTGTAAACGTTTGTTGTTGTTGTTTTTTTTAAAACAAATAAATAGTGTACTGTACTGTAAAATAATATAGTTATAAATAAATAATAATTTTAATCATCAATACGAACTGAAGGGTTAATATTGCGGGGATCAGCACCGCCCCGGCGTGACGGATTGGAACGGGAGAAAATGAAAAATGATTATGAAAAAAAATACAAAGTACAGCAGGACAAATAGTGACTGACGTGTACAGTACACTATTTCACTGCTGTTTGACGGAGCCGCTGCATCCTGATTGCTCTGTGGCGTTTTTTTCTTCTAAAGCCTGCGGTGCAGGTGTGTTTTTTGGAGAGAAGAACAGTTATCGGTAGTTGTTGTCGCTCTTTTTTCTTCTGGGCCAAAAGATCCTTATAAACCGACATGCAACCATTGATTATGTTCGACAATAAAGTTTAACAATGCATGATGCAAATCCGTGAAGCAGTGAGACCGTGAAAAGTGAACCGCGTTATAGCGAGGGTTTGCTGTATTGTACTTTTTAGCATGTGCACATAAACATAAAGCTCATGTCATTGAGAATTATCACTGAATCTCTGTTGCAAACATCAAGCCGTTGTTGCAGTGTTCCATTAGCATTTTTAGCATCCCTTCTTTTAATGCTCAGATATTCTTGTTCAGGCCTACTCTTAACGCAGGGAGACGCAGCATTTGGTTCATATACTCCACTTATTCAGCTCAGATTCAAATCAAAAATACTTTATTAAACCCGAAGGCAAATTAAGTACAGAGAGCTGTAAAACTAGTGAAAGCCTGAGTTCTTTTAAGCCAGGAAAAAACTCATTGGTTTAGATTCCTTTGACTGTTAAACTGTTATCATTTGTTTAAGTTTTATTTAGTTTACTACCTGCTTTATGGTGTTTTTATTTATTATTATTTATTATGCTTTAATTTACCTTCTATTTTACTGTTTAATTCATTTGAAGTACTTTGAATTGTCTTTGTACTGAATAATGCTCTATAGCTAAACTTGCCTTGCCTTGTAAAGAAGCTTTTGTCACATTAGAAACCAAAACTATGAATGTTTTATGAGGATATAATATGCTTGACCTGCTCAAAGAATAATAAAAATTTAATTTCTATTTTAAAAAATGGTTTAAAAAAACCAAGTATTATTTTTTTTTTTTTTGCGTTTTATAACTATGAACTGACTTGTTTTGGGTTGTCACATCAATTTCCTTTGCATGTTTCCATTCATAACACGGTTTTCAGCAATGTGCTTATAGTTAGGCCTCCCTTTTTGATCTACTTGAAGCAGCCAGCCTGTCTGTCAGCTATGCTCAGACAGATGTTTCTTTCAGATAAAAGAAGACGTCGAGTCGACCGAGCTCGCTCTGGCTTTTCAGCTGGGCGCCAACGAGGCAGACTCTGACATCGTTTGCCAGCCACAAAAGCAGCCAGTGTTTGCTTACCTGCCCCTCCGTAGTTTTGGCTTCCGTTTTATCATCCAAGGTGAGAAGAGAGAATCCAGAATAAATGGTTTGTGGAAGAAAAGAAATTTCTGGGATGAATTAGTTTCATTTTTTTTCTTTTAGGCGATTTCGACATCCCTTCTTCTAGGGAAGATGTTGATAGAGACAGCTCCTGGAACCAGTGGCTTCGATCAGAAATACCGCAACTGTTTCTCAAAGCCATGGAAGTCTTCACTGTAAGGGAAAAATGGTCCTAAACAGGATTAATACAGACAATATTAGTGATACATTTATGAATGAGAAAAAGAAATGAGAGGTTTTTCGTGTGTTTCAGGCTCATCCAGAGTACAGTGGGCTGAAAGGTCTTTGTCAGTTCCTGCATTTTATCCCCCTGCCTGATGAGGTGCTGGACTTCTTCAAGCCTGTTGCTGGGCAGATTATTCAGCTGCTGAAAGGCAGAGCCTTCCTTCCGACACTTGGTTCAGGTAATACTCCCAAATGCATATTGTGAAAAGAAAACTCAAAACGATCAGGCAGAGTTCAGACTCAGCATAGAGTAACTGTGATTCCCAGGTGGCGAGGTGGTGTACAAGCTGCCGTCCCAGGTGGCCGTCTGTCAGGACGCCGTGATCCGTGACGTGATCGGCAGTGATGAGCTGGAAAGGCATCTGTCTCTGTCTTACCTCCATCCGGGTCTGAGCCCCCCACCTCCCGCTTCCCTGCTCACTAACATGGGAGTCCGGTACCTGCGGGGAGCAGACGTTACCACGGTAACCACCGCTATGGCAAAGGAGCTGGTGAGAGCGGAGGGCATCCATACAGGTGTGTGGCATAACAGTTCAAACTAACCAGATTTAAAAGAAGAAAAGTTGTAGAGGTTTAGAGAAACTGACTGTATCTGTCACGGTTTCAGAGGGGGGTCTTCGCCAGTTGGCCAGGCTACTGGTTTGTAACTTTCGAGCGATTGAACATGGCTACGGAGAGGCGGAATCCATCCTCCAGAACCTCAGAGAGCTAACCATCATACCTCTGGCGGACGGACGTGTGGTGGCACTCAGCGCGGAGAGCGTGTTTTTCCCCCCAGAAGAAACCAAGACGAAGAAGAAGAAGAAAGCTCAGGTTCAGACAGGTAATCTGATGATTTCCACCTTCAGAACCTTTATTAAAGTCGTAGGGAAAACATATTTAAATGTCAAATCATTCTGGCTTAAACATATATATAAATGTACTCTTGATCAGACAATAAAGACTACTATAGATTTATATGTCGCAGCTAATATACGCAACAGTTGAAATAAGAATTATTTACTTTACCATTGAGTTTTCGTCCCTCAATTTTTCAACTATTTCGAAAATTTCTTTGAGATAGGGCCAAGGATGAGGGAAGTCTTGTTGGTCTCCATCTCCCAATATGCTAGCGCCTGTGTCCGACCTTTCAGACATTTCAACATCGTTTTCTGAATCCGACATTGTAGCATGGCATAGACAATTCACGTTTTCAGTTTGAAGAACACCTGCTTGCTTCTGATGATTTCCTTTAGCTAACCAGTGAGTGTTTGCGTTATACGACTCATCCAATGACACTAGTTTCCACTAGATGTGACGTGAAATAAATATTTATAAACACTAAACCAGGGGTAACCAATTAAAAATCAGCGGGGTCCGAATAAAGAAAATCATCAACCAGTAAAGGTCTAGAGACATTTTTAATGATCTGTTACTTTAACACTGAATTTAACACTGAAATAAAATGAGGTATTTATGCATTCATGTTATACACTGAGTTAAAAAAATAAAATAAAATAGAAATTGCCAAAAATTGCATCCCGTGCTATCTCAGAGGAGTTGACACTTGTATGACTTTATTCCTGTATATCCATCAGTAGTTAAAGGACAAGGGTCAGCAAATGCTAATTCTGCCTGTAAAACAATAACAGCGTAATTGTTGCTTTATGATCTGAAGCCTCATTTGGAGCTTTTAAACAGGCATTCAGTATTATAATAAAGCCCACACTGTTTCTGAATAAATACATTATTGTATGACTTAAGTTCTGTTCCATTTATGCCTCTTTCCTTGTAAGTGTGAAATGTCCCATGGTCCTGAATGCACCATAGCTATCTGACGCTCGTGAATGCTTCACACTGGTCTGTGTAGATGCCCGCTTGATTTTCCGCTTAAAACAAACTTTGCAGTTTCACAACTCACGTCGGCTATCACTGTTTATTGTTGTGTGTGAATAACAAGAGACAACAACAAATAAATCAGCCGTACCTCGGACAAAATCTTTGGATTTAATGTTGTTCATAACACCCCTACTTTTGTAAATGAATCTGCCAAATAACCAAAATTTTTTCCCACGAGAGGTATATTTAAACGTTTTTATATCATTAATATAACAACAAGTAGCTCCATTGGTCCTATTTTGATCAGTTTTCCTCATTGATATGCAGTTGTACAGGGCGAGGCATGCTCCCGCCCGCCACTGGGGATGCATATCTCAGCAGGGATGCACTTTTCTGCATAACACCGGACAACGGTCCGTTAAGCCCTGACCTCTGCATTAAACCGAAGACAAGAGTAACGAGTAACGGTTGTTTAAAAAATGTAAGGAATAGAAAGAAGTCAGAAGTAGGATGAAAATAAGTAATGGAATAAAATATAGATACCTAAAAAGTGTACTTAAGTACAGTAACCAAATATTTGTACTTCGTTACTTGACAAATCTGGTTTGATGATAATTTGCTTCCACTTCTGATTAATAAGCAGTTAGACCTATGCAGTGTTCTGTCATCAGGTGTTTTCTGAACAGTGTTAAGCCTGTAACAGGTATAAGATGCATTAACGTCCAAAAGGAGTCCAGATTAAAGATTTTCATTAAAAAACAATCCCCGGCCCGGGGTCTTTCTGCATAGAGACTGTTAGGTTAATTGGTTGGCCAGCCTCATTCATTATTCATACAGGTTAATCGTTACTCGTTATCTCAAGAAATCAATAACTGTTTAATAACTGTAATTATCTCGTTACAACGAGATAACAGTTAATGTGCTAACGAGATAGTTATGTTGCTATCTTGAGAAGAAAAAAGTTAAAAATGAAAAATCAAATATGGCTGCTCTCGGCTTCCGTAGTTATAAACACTTTTATGTTGTTTAAAAACCTTAGCACTTTATGTTTCTAGAAGCATAATCATATGCAGTGACTCATAGATAGAGAGAGGTGCTGAACGGAGCTTTTTCACACTGTTGTTCATCAGATTGATTTGGAATAATGAGGCTTTTAAATAACTGCTTCAGAAATCGAGGTAAATGAGGCAGCTTTGTAAGCTTCACAGTTTTTAAGTTTTTAGTTTATAAAAATCCGATAAAGAGAAAAAAAATAGATGATCTCTCTGAGAGGATATTTCTAAAAGCATGAAAAGTTCATAAAAAAAAAAAAAAACACCTGGGTAAACATTGCAGCTTTAGAATTATGGAAACCTGACTCATAAAAACTCAGAGCACCTGCCTTATAGGAGTCAGCAGACTCAGGCATTCAGAGCAGCGCTGTAGGTGTAGGAAATCGCTCCACAGTCAGGATAAAGCTGACCTGTTTCTAAAAATGAACAGATGTAAAGACTCTTCTATCTGAACATGAAAGTACAGGATCACCGCCTTCGTTTTGCGTCAGAACGCTCAGAAACGGCAACCAAAGCCCAGCCTCGGTGTGCCAAGCATGAATAATAAATTTTTCTCACTTTGATGTAAGCATTCTTCTTCTGCCGTTTAGCTTCTTGAATAATCTTGTAGGTTAAGTGGCTCTGTGTTTTTGCAAGCTGCTCAGAAGGCTGATGTTCCACAGCTTTATTTATCACTAGCTTTACATGAACGCCACAAATCAGTCCCTTCCCAACTCCCACTGGTTTATAAAATAAATACTGACTTTCAGTATTTCATCCATGAATTGCTATAAGAATGTGAGAAGCAACCTTTCTAACACCACATTATTTATCAACGGATATATATATCTAATATTGAGCGAAGAAGACGTAGTTATACATCCCCAAAGTTTGGGATTATGTTCTTTGCTCATTTATCAGACAATTGAACGATGCCATGGCTTACATCAAGTTAGTAGCTTCACCAATGTATTCTATCAACTTCTTCAGAACATGCACACACCTCCAAATTGTACATCTAAAGCAGAGGTCACAGATTGGCGATCCACGGTCCAGATCCAGACCCACCTGCTGGATAATCAGGATCCAACCTGATTTAAAACATTTATAAATTACTGCATGTTGTCTGCCGACAGTGTCTAACGTAACTTGCGCCGCTTCTATTGTTAATACGGTAAAGCCATCCAGAGCGCCGGGAGCAGGCTACACGTGATGCCAATAAGCCAATGAGCTGCTGTCAGTCTTTAGACACCGCAGGCAAACCTGTGGCAAGCCGAGCGAAGGCAAGAAGAAGACGATGAGAAAAAGAAAGCAGAGAAAGTGTGGACTGCTGGAAGAACTGAGGTGAACTGGTGAAAGAAAAGCGAAACGGTGTCCTCAAAGATGACCCTGCACATTTTGAGTATGTTTGGCTTAACCTGCTGCTGTGAAGCAGGATTCTCCACCATGAACAGAATCAAAAATGAAATTTGATCCAGGCTCAAAATTACCACCTTGATATGTGCTTTAGAATGGCTTTGTCTCCATTCAAACCCAGGTTTAAAGCCTTGCAGGGCAAAATAAAGCCCACTGCTCTCATTAAGACAGAAAAAGAAAGAAAGAAAACAAACAAACATTCATGTTTAGGTGTTTTATGAAACATGTTAATTTGGAAATTGCCTACATACCAAATTCAACGATTGTTGTTCTCTACTTCAAAAAACACGTTAGATTTTAAAATGGAAAAATTTTCTATTTTTTTTATATATTTTGTTATTTAAAAAGTCAATGTATAACATGGATGCACTAAAATCAGCATTTTATTTTGTTGTTAAATCCTGTTTAAAGTAACAGATTATAATTAAAAACGTCTCCAGACCTTTACTGGTTGATGATATTTCTTTATTCAGACCCTGCTGATTTTTAATTGGTTATCCCTGATCTTAAGTGTGAATTTTTCCGGCTGCAGATGCAATTTAAAATGCATTTTGTTGCGTTGTCATAGAGATAGATTTGGTTAGTTTTCAGGCCAGAGATTGCTGATGCATTAACAGTGTGCAGGCTGTGCTTGGAGGTGACGTGAACAGAGATGAGTGTGTTTAACTTTAGAGACAGCTAAGTTGAAGACAGTGTTCTCCTGAAATATTCAGCAGTGCAGGCATCAGTGGGCTTCAGACCACAGCAGCAAAGTAGGTCAGTAGAGATTTTCTGTTCAAAGTGCTGATGGATGTTTGTGAATAAATCAAAAATGAGGGTAAATCTTAGCAAAAGCCAAAACAGTTTATTATTTGGAACTAAAAAACAGGCTTAAAATCAATTCTTGTGATTATGCCTAAATGTATTGAATATGTCCTCTTTAGTTTATTTGAAGTCAGACTCTCTGTAACAGGTTTCTAATCTTGCATTCTTATAAAGTTTTTATCTGCTGAATTTCCCCTTAAAAACAAAAATTACCTCCTTCAAAATGTTATTATTCCTCTTTCTAGATAAAGTGAAAATAAAAATCTTTTTGTCATAAAAATAAAGCAAAGATTTTGTCAGTAGCTCAGCCGGTTCTCTCTATATCAGAAAATCTATATATGGTTAAACTTCTTCAAATATCTGTGACATAATTATTCTGAGTCCTCTTTTAAAAGTGGCCAATTGTTCGTTTATATTTTTTGAAATATCGAAAAGCACCTTTTCTCTTCTATTTTATATTTTTTCCCATGAACTCCAGCTAAGAAATGCTGAGAAATGGTAAATTGTAACACCATTCATTCATTCATAGACTGTAACAGAAGTCTTTTCCTGATTGGTCATAAGTTGCTTATATTAGTACTTAGTGCCTGGTGCACTGCAAAAACAAGAAATAAGTTAATTAAGTGTATTTCCCCTTAATTGGAGTAGGTAAATAAGATGATCTGCCAATGGAATGACTTTCTTTACCCTTAAACAAGATGATTAGATAATATGCACTTAAAGTAAGACAATGCAATTGATTTTTCTTATTCTAAATGTAAATTTTCTTGTTTTATTGGCAAAGTGTCTCACTTACCTCTTTAATTCCAGAACAAATGCACTTCTTTTAAGAAAAAATATTATATATATTTATATTTTTGGCAGGGTATCCATGTAGAATCACTAATCCGACCAGTCCTTGATCTAAATCTTTTTGAAGGTCCACTCTCTGCGTTGTACAAGGATCTTAGCATGGTCCCCCCCACCCTGCTGAACTGTTTGGATCCCCTGGAAAGCCAGCAGGTCCGGGAGCTGCTAAAAAGGCTCGGAGTCCATGAAATGGAGCCGCAGGAGCTGCTGGAGCAGCACATCTACCCCACCATCAACGGCAACAAATGGAAGGTAAGACAACTTAAAGGTGAACAAATATCACAGAGAAACCATTGGAAATTGTTTTATTTAACCTTTTTCTCTTAATTTTGTTTTATTTCTACCTGATGTTCCTGCCTATTCCAACTCAAGTCAAAGCCTCAGTCGGTGGTTGTCAGTTACTTGGTTTTCATCAAGCAGCACTCCTCCTCTAGCCAGGAGTACGCAGACATCGCAGTACCCGTCCTCACCTGCAGGGGGCTGCTGTGCCCGGCTACCGAAAGAGTGCATTTCTCTGAGGAGTACGGCAACATCAACCTGCCTAAAGCTCTGCCTGGTAGGAACAACAGACGCACAATCAAACAGACGTTCAAAGCTCATTTCAGACTGCAGAGATGCATTAAGAGTCTCAGATCTTCTGAGATCACCTGTGTTTGATTCTCAGTCTAGAAATGTGTGTTAAAAAGAAAAACATTAAAAAGGATCCTGGAATTGGTAGAAATATTGAACAGGATACAATGTGAGTGTTATAGAAGTAGCTGTGAAGCGTTTATAATACTGTTGGAAAAACAGATCCATAACCTACCTACCTACCTTCCTTCTTCCTTCCTTCCTTTTTTTACATAAAAGTAAAAAAAAAAACAAAAGAAAAGCAAAGAACACCAATTATCAATAAGTATATTTTTTATATTAACAGTAAATAATCTAAGATCTAAAAAAATCTAAAATCTTCCAAAATTGTGTTTTTTTTTTTATATTCCTTTCACCTGCAGAATATATTCTTGTTTAAGTGTTTACTCTTGACCTTGGAGGAAATAAAGCATAGAGTAAATGTCGAACACTTCCTACCCCACCTGCATCCTTGGTTTTTATGTTTAATGTTTATTATTTCAGTTTTTCTTCCATGTATTTGCTTATGATCTGTTGCTGATAAGGATTTTAAAAACTCTACAGTATCAAAACCGTTCTGTTAGGATCCATCTCTGATAAACTGATGCATTTTTTAGGCGTTTGAAGGCAAATATTTAATGTGGAGATGTGAGTTTTCTAGTTAATTTTCCTTTAAAGCAGGCATCCCCAAACTCGGTCCTCGAGGGCCGCTGTCCTGCAGGTTTTAGATGTTTTTCTGCTCCAGCACAGCTGATTTTAATTGATAGTTGATTAACAGGCTTTTGCTCTACTGCAATCATCATAATCAGCTGTGCTAAAGCAGGGAAATCTCTAAAACCTGCAGGACAGCGGCCCTCGAGGACCCAGTTTGGGGATGCCTGCTTTAAAGTAACAAATGTCTTTTAGCTTTTTTTTGCCTTCCATTGCTGCCAGAACCTGAGGTTACTTTAACTCAGCTTGTCATAGAAATATAGTTGCCATGTTACAGTTGGTAATACTAAAAATCAACAAAGCAGATTCATCAAACTGATATTTTATCTTACTTAGATAACTAATAACTAAAAATAGCTTTTAAAAGCTTCACACACTGTTAGCTGCTTACCTTTCTGTTTTCTTTGTGGTTTTTTTTATTCTCTTGTTCAACCTTCATCTCGCTGCCTGTCTGCTCTCCCCTCCACCAGGCTGCGACTGGATCCTGCTGAGTCCCTGTTACGTGGAGTCAGACGGCGATGTAGCGGGATGGAGAGAGCTGTTCAGCACCCTGGGCGTCAGAGACGGCCTCATCATCCGCAAAGAGCGCCGGAAGCTCACCTCTGCAGAGCTGGTGAGGAGGGCATCTTGTTACAAGATCAAGGGATCCAAATCATTTTAATTATGTAAAATAAGCCACTTTATTTGTACCATTAAAATGCAGTTATATACTATCAGTCATTTAAAAATCCATTTAAAAATAATCAAAAAGTTACTTTTAAATCTACTTAAAAATCATCTTTATTCTGTTATACAACACTGATAAATCCGGTTAATTGTTTTTTTAAATTAGTGACGCCAGTTCCTCTGCAATAACTCTTCTAGGAAGAGACAGGGAGCAGGTGAGCCAGGCGTACTTTCTATTGGAAAGAACTACAGAGCCGTGGCTTTAACCTGGATAGAGACACAGCTAAACTGGGTCAGATGTCGCTTTTATGGAAAGAGACGAAACACAAAACTCATAATAAAATAACTGATGTGAACAATTTAATAACGGAGAGTAGCAGAGGAGATAAGTGCGAGGAAAAGCGGTCAGTATGTTCCCCAGCACATAAACCCTGAGGATCATGATTACAAATATAACCCTGGACCTCACAGTCTGTGAGCACGCTGGAAGAAAACCTCTGGATGGGTTGTGAGAGCAGCTGAGGATCCTGTTCTGCATCAGTGAGTCATCGTGACGAATAGGTTAGTGATTAAAGAGGAAAATGTGAGGGATTATGAGTCAGACCGAGAACAAGAGATCCGTGGTGGCTTTGAGGCAGCGAAAGGTGACTGATGCGACATGTCGACATCCCACATTCCTGCTTTCCTCTTTTATCCTGGGCTACAGCTGCAAGGGATATAACATGGATATAAGATGAGACAATTACTAAGCGAGCAGCTGTGATTTCTTCATACATCACACGAAAAAAAAAAACTGTACTCAGCTCAAACAGTACACCCTGCATGCTAATAATACCTGGAAGTTATGGAAGGATTATATAGAAAGGTCACAGAGAGGAAAATCTATGAAAATATCTAAACTCTGGAAGAGTCCAATTTTCTCCTGTACTCATTATTCAACTCATTATTTCCCTGCTCTTCCACCAGGCTTCGAGTCCTTGGTCAGCTGAAAGTGCAACATGGCGCCAAAGTCCAGGAAAGGACTTTGTTCTGGATGACTATCCCTGTGAGGAGTTCCAGGCCCTGGCCACAGCTCAGCTCCCAGACCCCGTTCTCCTGCAGCAGAGGATGACTTTGTTACAGCTGCTGGAGACCAACTGGGACACCGGGTAACCCTCTGATCCGAAAATTGCAATTATGTGAAGATTCCTGTTGGGGTTTAAATGAATAGCTATGGATAATGGTTTAGGGATTATATTAAGACAGACTGTAAACCTTTTCACCTCTGCTGTAGCCATGAGGTCATTATTGATTTATGGAGGAGACCATGTCGGTCAGCAGAGTCAAGGGCAGATTAGACTTCTGCAACCGCACACATTAAATGTCGCTTGGGTCTGGTTGCAAACCTGTTTTGCTGGTATGCTTCTGCACCGTCGGTCTGGAATTTCTAGGGACTCACAGCAGTTGGAGAACTCACGAGAACTTCGGCGGTCACGATAGTCACGGGAACTTTCGCGGCGCCGGCGGAAGTGTTTATCTTTCAAAACAACAACGGCGCGTCTGCAAGATATCACGGTCACTGAGATGGATCTAGAGTTGCTAGACATTGAAGAGGAACAGGTGCTGTTAATGGAGTTGGCAAAAAGACAACTCCAGGCCACTGAAGCGACAGTGGTGTTGGATGTAGGAGTTTGCCCTGAAATCGAAGGACGGTTCAAGCCGGCTCTGACTTTCAGTGTCATTGTGTCCTTGGGCAAGACACTTCACCTGCATGGTCTACTGATGGTGGTCAGAGGGCCCGGTGGCGCCAGTGTACGGCAGCCCCACTTCTGTCAGTGAGCCCTAGGGCAGCTGTGGCTACAATGTAGCTAGCCACTATCAGTGTGTGAGTGTGTGCGTGTATGGGTGAATGACTGAATGTAGTGTAAAGCGCTTTGGTCAAGTCTCCTGACTTGAAAAAGCGCTATATAGGTACATGCCATTTACCATTTACAAAGGAGAACACATAGGTTCTCTATTGTAGTTGTTCCTCAGTTTTTATAAAAGGCGCGCCCCGGCATCGAATCGAGAAGGACGACCACACAGACAGCCGGAAAGGCATACCAAGGACCAATCACAGCTGCTTTTTGTCTGCGTATTTCCGCTTGAGGTCTATGCGGGTTTGTGACCGCCCGACGCATAGTCGGACGCAGGAGGCGTGGCCGCCCCCACAGAGACAGATTGGACGGTTGCAGAGGCAGATCTGACCACCCGAGCAGATCTGGTACCTACACTGATGGTGATCAGTCACCTGCAACAGCATAGCTGGATAAGGCCAGGCTCTTCCTGTAACAAACACTTGCTCTCCCCGTTTGAAGTTGAAATATCACAACATTCCTAGCAGGGCTAATGCCTGTAACAGTTCAAATAAAATAATTACATTTGCATTTTTCTAACATTCTTTCTTCCAGACACTGTTACTCTCAGTACCTCACAGCTCAGCTTATTGACAGCGACGGGCGACCAGTCAAGAACACCAGGTCCTCTTTCTACTACTTATTGTCCCGTCTGGAATGGGTGCCTGCTTATCGGCCAGCAGAGGAAGAAAACCAGAAGAGACAGTACCTCTGCCCGAGCTCGGTCTATCTGAAATCAGACGAGGTCACCAGCCTGCTGGGGATGCACGTCTTTTATGTGGACATGAGCTCCAGCGCCTTCAGCAAAGCTCTAGGTGAGAACAGAAAAATCCGGACGCCAGTCCTGATGTAGCTGACCTGCTTGAACCGTCTGTCTCAATTCCAGGGATGAGAGAAACTGTCTCAGTGGATGTTCTGATTGAGTTCCTGAAGAAGTGGTGCATCAAACCTAAAGAGGACAATCAAGAAGGAAGCTCAGCCGAAGAGGAGACGGAGGGGGCGCAGTTCACTACAACCGTAGAGCACATTCACAACGTCTACACCTACCTGGATGACAAATGTAACCAGAGAGACTTGAAGGAGCTCTTCCAGCACACCCCCGCTGTGTTTGTAGGAAGTAAAAGGTATAGTGTGCAGACCATGTGCAGCCATTTGGTTTAACATTTGGGTTTAACCCTAAAGCACTGTGTAAATTTTCCTGCAGGCCTGATGATTGCGTCTGCTCAGGACGCTTCTACCACCTGAAGGAGGTGTGCTGGAGTGACAACACAGAAATGTTCAAGCGTTACAAACTGCTAACTCAGAGAGAAGACAACCCCAACCTGCAGCCCAAAGTGCTGGCTCCTTTTTACAGCCAGCTGGAGGGAATGAGGGACTTCTTCCTGAACGTAAGCTCCTCCGATAAGGTCGTTCTAATGTATCCGGCTTACAACATTCACAGCAAAGGTTGCTGTTTAACCTTTTTAAATCACTCAGACTGAGTCACACGTGACGTCACCCTGGGACCTTTCATTCCTCTCATACGGCTCGTAAACCTTAAAAATATCCAGGTTCTAGGGCGTGCAGGTGGGGCAGTGGTTAGTGTGCACGACCCATGTACATGTACGTCAGGGGACTTAGTCATTCTTCACCTTCACTAAACATGGATATACTTTAGTATATTCTTCTGTAAAATGAGTCTTATATTTCCGTTTTGTACTCGAGGAATCAACCTCTGCCATTTCACAGGATGCGCAGCTTTGAGTGGTAACTAGGTGAGAGTAAACCGAAAATGATTGGATTATTTTTCTGACAAAACCAATCAGTGCGATCTCAGACAACCAGTCTCCTGAAACGCTCGTTGAAGAGAGCATCGCTTTGAACAGATACACTCAAGTTTCACTAGCAACCTCCTCCTCACACCCCGATCTCTCTTGTTGTGCCTTTGCAATCAAATTATTTCTAATCCGCACATGATGCCCGAATTATTGTACTGCCTGCATGCTCTCACTCGCATAAAAAAAAAAACACCACCTCGGACAGTCTAAAATCTGGCATAATTTATCCGACTCATGGGCTTCCACGAACAGCTATCAATATCAGGGAGACTTCCGGAACTTCCAGGAGCCTTGGGATGTCTGCTTTTCAGTGTATTAATATTAGTTTGCCTGCTGAGTTAGCCCATACATAAAAAGCTACTAAAAATTACATTTTATTTATAATATTTCTAATACCACATTTTACAAGAAATGAGTGTGCTTAGAGAAACATGAGGTGGGATAAAGAAGTAAATGTGCACCAATGTGAGGTAGTGATGCATCTGTGGTTATATCTGTAGCGGCTGAAGGTTGAGGACAGTCCCAGCATGAAGCAGTACGTGGGTTTGTTGGAGCTCATCTGCTCCTCTGCAGCCATACCGACTGCTGAGGTGCTGCAGGACGTCTCTGCGCTCTACGCCAAACTCGGTAAGGACTTCAGCTGCAGACACTTTCTCACTCCGTGTCTCACACTTCTTCACTCTGTCCCATCTGTTAACAAGTCTTGTCTTCAAGAGGAAGTAAGACATTTTGCTACATCCTGACTAGTTTTCTTTGTCTGATCATCTTTATTGTAATGAGTACCATTCAGTATTAAATTCTTAACAATTATTCATACCCTGTGAACTGTTTCACAGTCTGTCGCATTTTGCTAGATTTTATTTCTTGCACAGGACTTCAAATTGTTGTTGATAGAAGCTGCTCTTAAATATGTGTTAAGTTGTTTTGCAAACAACAATTCAGTCTCCATTATGGGCAAAGATAATAATTACCATGCAGTTTATTGAAAGCAGGAAAATTCTTCTTTTTCATCATAACATTCTCACCACTTTGAATTTTGCAGCAGGTTTGTACAAATGCAGTAAGACTGCATGCAACTGTCTAAATATATTTACATGCAGGATGTTAATACATGTCCCTAAATGCAGCAAATCCCTTAATGCAGGATCAAAGGCTTCCTGCACAGATATTGCATATTTTCATTGCAATAATGCATATGTAGATATTTTTCCCCAAGATGTAGCTGTAGTTTAAATGGTTCTATATTATTCCTAATTGTATTTTTGTCATTTTCTCCTCACTGTTTTGTGTTAGTCTATCACTTAAATCCACTGAAGCGTCTAAACGTTTGTGATGGTATTGTGCAATGAGTTAAAGTTAAAAGGGTGCCATCACCTTTGTGTGTAAGCTCATGCTACTAACAGCTCCCACATGTAAACAACCTTCCCATAATAGAAGGTGGTGATATGCAGGTCAGTCAGTAGTCAATTTGAAGCAATGTGCTAAAATAAAAAATTACCCATAAGTAGATTTAGATAAAAAATTACAACAAAAATGTGAGATGACTCGTCTTGTTGCAACAAGTTGGGATTAATGTGGCACCATTAAATACAGTGATATACATAAATACAGTGATATAATTTATTCTATTTTCACAGCTCATAAATGTAAGCCCAAAGTGACTGGAGAGCAGGAAAACATTCCTCAGAGCAGATTTGATAAGAATTATACCTCCCCGTTGAAAGGTGAGTAACATGCCCCTTACCTCTTTAATCAGACAGACCCCACCTGCTGTCTGTCGGTGGGGAGAATTTGGTGCAGCAGCCTGGAAAAACTCTCCCAGGAGAACGAAGGAAGAAAGGAGTGATTTATAGTGCAGATTCATCATCTATCTTAGAGGCACTTTGTATTTTAAATCCTGCCTAAAATGTGAAATATTTAGTAACCTGCAGGGGTGTATTCTAAAAATGGTGGACTTTACTGGGTTCTTCGCCCGGCAACACGGATCATTTCAGCCGCAGCATCAGTAAGCAATTAAAGGGACAGGTTGCAGCTGCTTGCATCACCTCTCTGGGTTTCACACAAGTTATTTACCTCCAGTGTATGGAATTTTATTTCAGAAAGTTAATATTTCTACTTGTTTTCTTGTCTAGTTTTGGTCAGTCAGCAATGTGAAACATAGAGTTGAAATAATCTGTCTCCCCCAAACACTCACTGTTGATTTGATTAATTTTAAACAGAGAAACAAACAGTGTGATCCAAAGCGAGAATGATTGGATCTTGCTGTCCTTTGTCTCTCCATTCAGTCATGGTGTCTGACAAGCGGGTCTTCCCTACGAAGGACAGTTGGGTGAGTCTGAGACATAAACCCATGATCAATGATGACAAAGAGCTGGAGAAGATCTTCAAGCATCGCAATGAGGTCTGTCTCCTCCACCTGCCACCACCAGAGAAGAAGAGCGTTCAAAAGAGTAAGACTGGTACGAAGCTGCCCCCTGAAGGATCTCAAGTTCTTTATCTCATGCAGTGTTTTAAAAGATTCTTACTTGCTGTGTGGTTGACGGACAGGTCAAGCAGGCACAGGAGATCGAGCCACTAAACCCGCCTTCAAAGAGGAGGACAGACTCTCCTTCCTGGAGATATGCGGCGTTCGTCAGCTCTCCGACTGCGTGAAGTCCCAGTCCCAAACCGAGAGCTGGAGGCCCTGTCCACCCATGCAGTCCCTGGTGCGCTCGGTCATCCCCTACATCCAGAGGTTCCTCTACCACCGTGAGGAGCTGGCAGAGGTTTACTCTGAGCTGAAGGACAGGAACATAGCAGAGAAACTCAAGAGCCTTTCCTTTGGACAGGTGGGCAAGTCAGTTTCCCCTCTAGATGCTCTCTTTTCTAGAGAGAGATGTGAACTGATGTGGTGTAGAATCTGGAGTATTTAGATTTTTCTCTACCAGTATTTGCTTGTGATATAAAAAAAAAAAACTTCTGGTAATATATCATAATTTTTGGCTGCCTGATATTATCTCGATCTTTTAGTTCCTAGTAGTGTTGCACAGATACCAGTATCGGGCGGGGCCCCGATCCAGCACTAAAATGGCGGTATCGGTATCAGCGAGTACCAACAAATAGGGCAGCGATACCATTTTGAGGGACAAAAGTTTAATAAACTATTGTCAAGCATTCCAGGTAGGCAATAACAAGTTCTTTGTATTAGTCTTTGCTTCACAAAGGTAGGCAGCAGCTTGACAAAGCCATGATGGCAATTATTTTACATCCAAGTAGTATGCAGTTCTTCATATATATACATATATGGGGAGACAGTGGCGTCGGATGTAGGAGTTTGCCCTGAAATCGAAGGATTGACGGTTCAAGCCCCGGCTCCGACTTTCAGTGTCCTTGTGTCCTTGGGCAAGACAGTTCACCTGCATTGTCTACTGATGGTGGTAGCAGGCATTAGCACAAAACTAGTTCCTAGTATTGATTTTTTAAAGCAAAACATTTTTACCTAAAAAAGAAAAATGAGCTACCTCTGTACCACCACTCTGGCAGATGGCGCTGTGGAGCCCTTTTGCTGTGCGGAGCAGCACTATATCTGTAGTTGAGGCAATCAGGGACTGCCTCAAACCCCAAGCTATATGGATACCAAGATAACTGAACGATCAATATCATCTGACGAACATAAACAGGGGTTGCTTTTTCATAGCGGACTGCTATTTTGATAGCAGGAAAAATATCTTAATATATGAAAAATATCTCAATATATGATGATATTGCAATATAGTGATAATACCGTATCGTGACACGTATCGTATCGCAACACCCATGCCGATACTAACCCCTAGCATTTGCCCATCTAGATGAAGGGTTGTCCTTTCTTCTTAGCAGCGTGCCTTAATGAGTCAGAGTCACGGGGTTTTTCATGTAGGTCAACTTCATATTTGGTCACTTTAATCTTTTCTTCCCACTTTAGGTTCTGTAATTATTTAATATATCACAAAAATAAATGGATCTGGGTTTGGATTCCTGCCTCTTCTGCTGAAACCAACATACATACAATCTAATTCCATCTCACTGCCTGTTCTCAGGTGGGGAAGCTGTATATTCGCTACCAGCTGGACATCGCTGAAGGAGATGATCCAGTGATAGAGCTGAAGGATGTCATCTGCCTGCTGACGGATGAGAAGGAGTTCTACATCCAGATGGACCACATCAACGAGAAACTGGAAATCCTGAGGTTTGTGTGCTGCTCAAACTTTCACCTGAAGCCGTAAGCGTTCATCAAACCAGTGCTGTTCATATCATCTGGTCGCACCGAGTCGCCTCTTCTGTTCTGTACATTTTCTTCTTTTTATAGATATAGTCTGTGCAGATAGATCTATCTGTCATAGAGGGAGTCTGGTTTAAACTGTCTTCTGGATACATTCTTTCAGTTATGCTCATTTCGATAGGTGGATCTTTATGCATCTCATAGTGCCTCTAGTAATCTCTTCTAAGACCTAACTTCTTATTTCCTGGGGTTAAGTTCCCTGTCCCTTGTCTTTTTCCACTTGTGCTGCTAAAACAAGTGGAAAAAAATACACTTTTTTTTGTTCTACAGTCTGGAAAAATCTGGAGCAGTTAGAGCGCTCTGAGTAAAGCATTTTTATACTCTGAAGAAATACAGAAATTTGTAATCCTGGTTTTCAATCCTTTCCTTTCATCCAAAAGAACTGAACTTTTCATCGAATCTGAAAACGTACAAAATGTACCAATGATAATATGAATCCCTGCTGTTGGCCTTACAGGTCTGCTCTGAAGGGATGCTGGTTTTTATGTGTTTGTTTGTCGCTGTAACATAACCATCTGTTCCAGGAAAATCAACTGGTTGATTTAACCGTGAAATGTATGCGATGAGGTTGTTTATTTGTTGCAGTGAGTTGGTGAAGCTCTTCTGCACTGAGAGCAGCCACAGAAAAGACCTGAAGCACTTCCTGAGCCTCGCCATAAACAGCTTACCGGTAAGTGATATACGATCGCTAATCCTCTCCCTTTAAAGAGAGTCCTCTCTCGCTCAGAGACTCGCTTCCTGTCACCAGTCCTCACTGTAGCTACAAGAAATGGCTTTTTTCCCCCCGAGGGGAGTTATACTGCGCCTTACCGTTAATCTCTGCAGAGGGGCTCACACTGGGCCTCCTCTTTGATCCTCCTCTGATGAAGGGGCTCTCCTCACCTCTTCTGCATTGAAGAACAAAGGCAGCTCATGGTGATCAAAAGAAAGTTTGCATAAAATTCAGCTGAATTCTTGGAACATATTGGAGTTATTTTCCATCTGATGAATTATGTTAGAATTTTATCATTGATTAATATTCAGGAATTATAAAGATACTAGGAACAGTTGTAACCTTTATCAAGACTGCACTTTAAAAAAAGAAAAAGTCTAAAGAGCTTTACTTAACAAAATTTCTTTTTTTATACAATTGGTTCACAAAATGACAAAATAAAATCCTTCAGTTTTTCCATCAGTTTTTGAATTTATTATTGTTTGAATCTAAAAAGTTTCACCTTTATTTTTTAATTAACTGTTATGGAAATTTGATTTTCAAATGAAGTAATATTTAACCACCGTCTACAGGATCAAAGGGCTCTGGACAGATTGATGAGGAAAGAGAACATCGGAGAGCTGCCCGCCGACGAGGAGCACTGGGAGGTTCCAGAGCCCCGCACGCTAGAGCCCACTATGGACAGAGGTACCAAACATTCACACCCACACAGCTGTGGGACTTCCATTGACTTCTATTGATTGCTTATTTTAAGTCCTTTCTATTTCCTAACCTTAAGAATAAACCTAAACATTACCAGAGCATTCCTATAGTCCTGAATCTAACTCCCAACACCAGAAGAGAGCTTTTCCTCATGGTGACTAGTTGACTGATCAAGAACCAGTTAGACCCCACTAAGTAGCTTATTCCTGGGAAAATGGCCTCACAGACGGAGGTGAAAGATGGATGGAGACCGGATGACTGTTTGTTTCATAAAAGAAAACAAATAGCTCTGAAGATTTAATTGTGTGGGGATTTTTTTGCCATAAATACAAAAATACAGCATGTTTGATTTCCATTTGTATTCATCCCTAATAAAACCATTTAAATACAATCCAGAGCACCCATTTACATTGATACAACCTCGTGTATAAATCATTTCTAGACTCTTAGGTAAAGCTTTAAAATCTTCTGTTTTTATCCAATCCATCTTTATTTATTGAGCACTTTAAAATTTCTCAAAGGACCAAAGTGCTGGAGAGTGAAACAACATAACACCATTACACAGACTCAAAAAAAAAAAAAAATACAGCATAAAAGACAAAATTAAATTCAGAACTATAAAATCTATAATAAAATAAGAATAAAAATAATTTTAAAATAATGTATCACAGACTAAAATCAACATCTCGCTCAGGTTTGAAAGCCAAGGAAAAGAGATGAGTTTTTAAGAGCAATTTAAAATCACATAAAGAAGTAGACAATTTAATTTTCTATGGAAGGTCGTTCCATACTTTTGGAGCTGCACAGAGAAAGCACGATCGCCACAAAGCTTACGTTTAAATTTGGCACCTGAAGAAGCAGCTGATCGACTGACCTGAGCGAATAGGAGGGTGCATGAAGGTGCAGCAACTCACAAAGATAAGATGGAGCAAGCAATAAAATTAATCCTAGAATGTACAGGGAGCCAGTGTAATGAGGCTAAAATTGGGGTTTATAGGTAATGAGCATCCTTTTCAAAGAAGGTTGAGTGATTAAACATGGACAAGTTTCAGTCAAGCACAACGTAAGCAGCCCAAAAAGACCTAGAGCTGCTGCGAAAAGAACCTCCACAGACTATCAACTCATAACTAGCTGAATATAAATGTCTGCCGCATGTATCAGGCTTTTATTTGTGTGTTTGAAAGAGCATCTTTCCATTTCAGTAGGCATTACTTCATTCTGTTTCTCAAACATCCATGTATAAATTCCATCCGAGTTGGTTGGAACTTGAAGAAAATGTCAAACAGCATAAGAAGGAAAACTACATTTGAAATGTACTTTATATTCTGGACAGAATGATCCTCACTGTGTCTTCACTGAGGCGCTACGTTTACTCCATCCAGGCTGCACTACTGATGCAGAGCCTTCTAGCAACACAGGGGAGCAGAGCTCTATATGAAGATAAAAAAAAAAAACTGCACTGTCAGTTTTTCTTGCAGATTTTGAAACTTAACTAAAACACAAATCAGAAAAAAATCCACCTGTTTCTTTCTCCGATAAGTATCTATTAAATCCAAGAAAAAAGGACAAACAGCAGGAAGAAAAAGCTAAACCCCATGATGTGTATTTATTTTCATCTTTAAAAGGAAACAAGTCGGCGTTCGTCAGCGACCTAAAGCCCTGTTTTTAGCTACAGCTGAGGAGCGTTTTGCTTCAACTGTTTATAAATTGGCAGCAAATGACAGATAATAGCTGTGTGCTAAAGAGCCGTTTGAATGGAATTTATTAACATTAACACATTAAACCACAAGAAGGACTAATAGTGAAAAGGTCAGTGGTGAAGCTGTTTGTCTAATTAGTTTTGTAAAAAATACGGACGGCAAATGTTTTTAATGTCCTCAACAGAGTTAAGCTGTTAATACATAAAAAAATGCTGAAGCACTTCTACAATGCAGACCAGAAGACACTTACTGACTGTAGATAAGTGAAATGAATCTATCTATTCTTGATAACTGTTTCATTACATCAGCTCAGAGTTTATGAATGTTATCTAACTTTAATTTTAGCGTAACATGCTGTCCTTTAAAATAGGGGTGAGTGTTGGCATGGATGTTTCGATACGATGCATGTCATGATATTTGGGTCACAATATGATATAATCATGATTTTGCAATATCACTATATATTTCGATATTTGTCCCAGCTATCAAATCAAATGTACAGATAAAAAAAGCAAGTTCTATATACGTTTATAAGGAGATATTAATCATTTAGTTATTTTGGTATCCATGTTTTTTGGGGTTTGAGGAAGTCCTCGTCTTTCTCTGTGACTGACTCACTGTACCTCAGATTTAAAGTCTGGTTTCTCCTAATCGTATTAAATCACTCTCAGCTCTTTACTTTCTGTAACCAAACCAGCTTACCTCTCATTACCTCTTTAACAGCAGGATCATTCCTCCTCTTTTTTCCAGCTTCTTTAGTAGTTTCTCAGCTGCTTCACCTCTAAAGGTCATCCTTCTGTCCAGTACTCCATCGTTAAATAAGGAAAAACAGACAAGACTGAGTCCAGGTCATAACATAGGAACCTTATGCACAAGTTCCACTTATAAAATAGAAATAAATTAATTCAGCAGGTATGAGAAATGATCTATCTGCCCCTAAACAATCATTTTAACACAGGTTTTAAAAGGAATGTGTGAAGTTAGGAAGCTGAGGCGCAGGCATTTCTTGCAAGAAAACCGGTTCAAATTTAATTAATGTCCTCAGAAGGAGAGATCTACAGTATCTCTGACTGGGCAAAGCTCAGTACATACATTTATACCTTACAAAAATCCCAACACACACACTCCCCCTAGGGGAACCAACCCACCCCCTGCATAAAGAACTTTCTCACACTTGACCATTTGGAGGGAAAACAACTTGAGTTGCTGTTAGGTTAAAATATCTTTCACTGGCCGGATGCATCTCCTCAAAACAACAGTTCTCCCCTTCATGCCATGAAGGAGGCTGTGTGACTCATTCATATCTTTCATGACCTTCGTTTGGAGCCTATGAGGCTACAAACAGACATACTTCAACATTTTTTGCTCCACAAATGAAATACCGGTAGTTGAGTTTTTGTCCTCCTTTGATTTAAAAGGCTGGGCTTTCCATGGCTGTGGGTCATCTCCACAGGTTTTTCTATACCCCTCTCCTACTTTGTCTTACTGTGTGTGATGCTGCCACCAGATTAGACAGTACTTTACTTTATTTGAGTGAAAATGCAAGAAAAAAACCTTTTTTTACTAATAGACTTTTATCTAAATGGTCAGATGAAGGTGCTACCATTTATATAGCGTCCAATGGATGGGTGTGTGGGGTTTGTAGAGAGCAGAGGTTAAACCGAGGGAGTAAAAATCTGTAGGTAAATTTGAAAGCATCCTGAAGCTAAGAGCTCCTGGTTTGATAGCACATATAATTGTCAGTTTGGTGCAGTTTTACTTCCACAAGCCCCAGTTCCCAAAAGATCATCAGCATCGATCCTGGTGTCCAGCCTGATGTTGATGTTTGAGAGAAAACTGAAACATTAGATGAGCTTCTGACCTCCGCCTGCTGCTGCTGTTCAGTCTGATCGACTGCAGCCTTCCCAGCTTTCTGGGTGACATTAAGGTTTTATCTTTGCAGCAACATCTTTCTCCTCTGCACAAGCAGGCTATCTGGTGTGGCTTTTTTCTTTGTGTGTGCTAACTTGGGTGCAGCGACATAAAAGCGCAGCTGATGCCAAAGCTTAGAGAGAGAGGAGAAAATCCTTCACTGCAGCAGAACACAAACATATACAAGGATAAAGAAGCTGAAGTCTTTGCAAGTCTGAAAGCCTCACTAATCTTTACCAAGTTTGACTTTGGTTCCTTGATGGTTCCTGAGCAATCTAGGTTTAGGGACATTTGAGTGTGACTGTCTGAGCCAGTTGGTTGGTGTCTGAAATGAACACAAGGGAGCCGGATTGGCCTTAAATCCAAAACTCATCAGTAAATTGTTCTTTCAGTTTATTCCAGGAGTCTGTCATCCATCAGCTCCCCGGTGGAGCCAAACTGTCCCAATCAACCAGAGGGGGAGCAGACGCTGGCTTGCTGGCCTCCGCGAGCTCCTATGCTGAACGCAAGCAGCAGCCATGCAGGTACAGCAGCTCTTTCGCAGACGTACAACACATCTGGTCATAAGTTTGTCTTTTAATGACCTTTTAATCCTGCTTTGTCCTCCAGGTCAGCAGAATAGTGATGCTGTGGAGGCCGTCTTAAAGATGTGGCCCCCTCCTGCTGGTCCTAAAGACAGAGACTCAGAGAAGGAAGGAAAGCAGGAACCCAGGAGCAGCAGACCTGCAGGCCCTCAGAGAGACCCCAGCCATGATGCTGCAGCCGTCAGCACAGGTCTGAACACATCGATTCCCACTTTCCTCTCTATCCATAAAGCATTCACACCCTCTTTCACATCTTCCAGCATCTTCACAACAACCTTTAGGGTATTATAGGGACCTTATGACCAACAATAAGTGTTACGTCTTAGAAAAGGCTGAAAAAAAAGGATTAGGATTTAAAAAATTTGAAAAGTGTGGCAGGATTCTCAGTGAACTTTCTCTGAAAGGTTTGTGACTTCTAAGACACGTGCTCTTGACTTTGACTAGGCCGTTCCAACACTGACTGTAAGTCTTATTAGGTTCATTTTAAAAATCTTGAGAGTAAAACAACTTTAAAGCTTGGAGAGTCTGAAAAATACACAAAGAAAAAAAAACTGCCTCCCAGATTGAATGTTCAGCACGTTGTGTTAAAGCTTCCTGTTCCATTTGGTGCCGTCTGTCACCCACCAGAACGCAGCCAGCGGACTGAGACCAGCGAGTCCCACAGAGCTGAGAGGAGAGAGGAAGGCCCGGCTCCTCCCAGACCAGAACCGACTCCAAAGCCTCCATCTGATCAGGCTGCAGAGTCTTCCAGCTGCCCGCCTCCTCCAACCAGCCTGTATGTTTCTGCTACGTGCCTCAGTTATCTGATAATTCACACAGAAAGCTAACGTTGGTGTTCGTTGTTCTCTGTGCGCCTCCACCCCTCAGGGTGGGCCCCGAGGCGGTGGTGCCCTGCGGTACATTCCAGGGGACGGCAGCTGTCGGGGATTCTCAGCGTCCTCTCCTGAACATGGACTTCCCTCTGTGGGACAAAGACCAGTCTCCGCAGGCCACTCTGGAGGACATGGACCTCCCCTGTCAGATACCCAAAGCCGTCAGTACTCCCCCCAACCCCGGCATGCTGGGATCCGTTAGTGTTCAGCTCCTGCCGTCCTTATCCTTAACTGCTCCGTTTCTTCTGCAGGTGGTTTTCTCAGATGAACAGATGGACCTGGTGGCGATCGGCGACTGGGGGGAGCAGCTGGTCAACTCCTTCCTGTGCCAGTGGAGAGACAGCGACGACCCCGGGCGGCCCACACACGTCCTGTGGTGCAATCAGAGCGGAGAGAGCGGCCAACCCTACGACTTCAAGCTCACTTTCGGCGAGGCGGGGGCCACTTTCGTGGAGGTCAAATCCACCATGAAGAGAGAGAAATCCTTCATCCACATGTCGGCCAACGAGCTGGACTTCGCCCTGAAAGAGAAGGAGCGCTACCACGTCTACAGAGTGTACAGCGCCGGGGACGCTCAGAGCGTCCGTCTGTGCCGCATCCAGAACCTGGCGCAGCACCTCCACACCAAGGACCTGTCCCTGTTTCTCTTTGTGTAGCCATTCATTTACTATTTGCACTTTTTCTCACTGACGATGTCGTTTTTAAAACCTTTTTAAAGTTTTATCTGCTGCTCAGCAGGCATTTAACCACAAACTTTATTTCAGCTGTTTTTTATTTAACTAAGCACTGTTTTAAAATTAAACGTTTTTACTTTCAATCGATACAAGTTTATATGTCTGAAAAGGTGATTCCTGTCTCATTAACTTCAGTGAATGTAATGAAGGTGAAATTTAGGGTAGTTTAATGTCATAAAACAATGTGGTATTATTGTTAACTGGAAGGAAAATACTCCATGTTTGGTTCTTTTACAAATAAAAATATTTTAATTAATTACAGTCTGTATTTGTTCTCAACTCCCCTTTACTCTGATTCCCTAAAATCAAAGCAAGAGCAACCAATTCAGAAATATATCTAGAAATATCACCTTAAAGGAAAAAGAATCCATCTCTGTGTAATTTCACACTATTAGTCTGTTCTGTGATGGTTTCTTAGAGGAGTGGGGGCCACGGGGGACCCTAAGAAAAATAGGTTAAATAGGTATAGTATAATATTTGGGGATTTAAATTTGAGCTCTCCAACCTTAGCAGAGAGAGAACCAAAATTACTTTATTCCCTTTTATGCGTTTTTAACAAGACCTTCTGGAGGTATTGACAGATATTAAGACAAGCCCTCCCACTACACACACACACACAGTTAAGAGGTTTTATAACTTTTGTTCTGTTATTTTCATCAACCTTTTGCTGAAACATTAACATTCGGTTAGAATGGGATGTGGCGTTGAAAAAAAACTTTTTCTTTAAGCTATGCAAACAATCATAATTGGAAATGGGTACAATAAAGAAAATACCCTAAATGTAAGTACTTGTTTAAACATATTTTGTAGCATTGCCTGTTTGCAAAGTGTGCTTTCCAGACCAAAGGCTTGTGCTGTTCGGGGGTCTATATAAGGAAGGATGGACGGTGACTGAAATAATCAAAATGACAAAGTTTCAGCAGCACAAAGAACATTTCGAACAATTTCTGTTCAGATTTTGGGAGCAACTTTTCTCAGGTGAGCAAGAAACACATCAAGCTTATCAGAAAGGAAGCCAAAATCCAAAGCTGTGAACATGACAATCCACCTGAACTGAGAGGAGGGACAAAGAGCTCCGTGTTGTAGACTGCATATCACCCTGAGCACGGTGGTGGCGGCATCATGATGTGGGGATGTTTGAGTTTTCCTATGAAACACAAACATCCTCTCCATTACAGACCCTCATCCAAGAGTTTTACCCTTTTCCCCTACAGGCCTGATGCACTCTGACCTCCCTAACTTAACTTTAAGCCCCTCCTCAGACTCTTTCAGGTGTCCTTTAATAAGCACTCTCCTCATGGCTCTTGCTTCTGAATTCTATCATAAAAATCATTTCTAGAAGCCCCGGTTAATATCTCCATAAGTCTGCTGTGGGTGTTTTTTTGAAATGGCGTAGAGTTCTTCTCCAACAGTCTTTTGTGGAGATCTTAGAAAACAGCCTGTGGGGAGGGACAGTTTCCACGCTTGATCACCTCCCCCTGGTTTATGGAGCTGTTTGCTTCCAAAGGATCAGCCACTGAGACGGGTGCTGATTGAATCGATGGAAGGACATTTTGCATCCCTAGCTTAGCTGGAGGCTTGGAGGTACATTGTTTTCAATAAAGCCTCATTTGGATTAAAAGGGAATCTTTTATTGCACTGCATAGCTGCCCCTCTGTTCTAAATTGGTGTTACGTTCAGGTGGAGCTCGTACATTTGAGTTTCTGGTCGAATTATCATTAATAAAAGCCACTTTGGGCGCTGTTGATGTTCCTCTGTGTTGGTTTTTCATTTACTACATTTAACTAACATAATTTTCAGTGAAAGTCTTCTGTGGCTGAGTTTCCAGGACCTCTGGAGATAAATCAGTTTATACATGTTGTCTTATTTCTTTAAAAACAACAAAGTATGTTTAGAAGTGTTTTTTATTATTTACAGTCTGTAACATTGTCTGTTTGGTGAAAGCTAACTTTGCCAATCCTTCCTCAGCAACTACATATTCGTATTTGGTCTTTTCCCATTTCCATTTTTTTACATTTATTCTTTACTGCTGTGACTAAATTATTAATAATTATTGGTTTCATAGTAATTATATAGGTTTGATATTTTTTCCATATCCCAAAATATCAATAAATAATAAATACAAAGGAAATCTGTCCCTGACAGAGCACCCGTAGCCCAATCCCCCCAGGGGCCAAACACAAAAGGAGCCCAGACACTGACCCTGGAGGCCATAGTGCAGAGGTTCCATGGGGCTGCAGCAGCCTAAGGTGGACCCGGATAAAAGCCCCGAGGTCTGGGGGAGCATCACCCCTCAGCGGGGACCCCATAGGCCCGGCCCGGCAGCCACAGGACTGAGACAGAGCCCAATGAAGCACCCAACCCGCACCCAGAGAACCTTCAGAGTGACAGCAGACACCTGGCAAGGGCGGGAAGCATAAGAAGGGGGAGAAGGCAGACTCTGCTCATACTTTGGGCCTAGAATGTTCATTAGATAAGGCGGAGGGGGCAAACACCCCTTCAATCCAGTCACATTCACACAATCCCAACTTTAAGGGTGATTTATACTCAGAAACCAGGTCGTCTGCGTGTGTGTCGCAATTAACACAGATGTGCAGACGCTCTGCTGCAGCTCTCCAAAATTGTAGGTGATGGCAGACAGGAGGCCTCTGATTGGTCAAATCTACATCCGCTCTACACTGTGCATATTTCCTGTTTGGTACCTTACCGGCTTGTTTTGTTTGTATGACCGCCATTGTGGAAAACGACTCGTGAAGATGGACCAGCTAGAAGAGCGAGGTGCGAGAGAACGCTGGGACACTTAATCTCCTGGATCCCCAATCTTTTTCAAACGATCTAGAAATAAGTAAAGAATTCCTTAAATTAAGTGTATTTACCCTTAATTTGTGTAGGTAAATGATATAGTTTGCAAATGGAATGAGTATTTTTACCCTTAAAATAAGATAATTAAATAATATACACTTGAAATAAGACAATGCATTTGTGTTGTCTTATTTTAAGAGTAAATTACGCTGAAATTAGGAACGGCTCACCGGGAAAATGCCCGGTATTACAGATTACCAGTCTGAGCCTGCCCACCAGAGTCCCCCCACCCCACTGCAGGCATACAGCGCACAGTCAGGGCAGGCAGCAATCCCACCTGCCGTACAGTCAGCCATCTCCCCAAGGACGGTGCAAAACCTTTCAAACATCCCGGACCCCCAAACAATGCCAGGAACCGGCATCCCCGCAAAGGCCGGACAGCCCAAGGAGAGCCAAAAACCTCAGCCAAAACATGACCAGGCCTCTTTTATTAGCTCTAAACAAAGCTTGAAGCATCTTTAAATGAACAAAATATCTTAGTTTAGAGATATCTGATGCAATAATCAATTACTTGATATGCTCTCTAGCATTCGCATATAAAATTTTGTGCCACAAACAATAATATAATATCTGATAAATTTGTTCTTTTTTGCTTTATTTAGAAGATTGTTGCTTCTTGTTTCATGCATTTTAAATCAGTATTGCTTCATTTAGCAGTGTGGACAGGGATTTGGAAATTTGGAAAACCAAAATAATCATCTGCAAAAAAGTTTGTCAGCAGAGGGAGGAGATAAAGTACCAGGTACTCCAACTTCCAAGTTTAGTCCATTTTTATTACTGTGGCTTGTAAGCTTAGCACAGCTTTTCCTTCCACTCAACTTTCTATTACTATTACCGTATATAACACTTTATGAACAACCAATCTTGCAACTTACTAACATTTTTTTCTCTGCAGAGGATGGTAATGACTATTTAATAATAATTATTATTGACTTTTATTATTACTCCATGTTATAACATGTGCTATGAAAATGCACATTTTATTGGTCTTGTGTAACGTTTTTGTATTATTTTAAGAAATAAATGTATATACTAGATATATATCAAATTGTGTAAAGAGGTGTTGGAATATATATTAATATACTAGAATATTTTTGTTTTTTCCATTATTTTTTGCTTGTTTGCGTTCACTTAAAATATTTCCGATGAGCCCTGAAGGCAGCATAGTCTGTACGGAGACAGCAAGCAGCAGCGGCTCCCGGCGGAGCAGCGCTGTGATTGGTCGGATCCTTGAGGAGAGGAGGGGGGGACTTAGGGGGGAGGGTTGTACATTCTGCATCTCCGGTCCTCTCCTCCCATCCTGGAGATCAGAGCGATGCGGAGACAATAAGGACGCAGATCCGCAGGGAGGCAGCAGGATGCCCGGACGCACATCCAGCAGCGACGCGCTGCTCTCAAGCCAGGAGGCTCCTGCCAGGCTGTAGTATGAGCCACGCGTGTTTATTGTTGCGAGGACAGGGTGGACACCGCAGCCTCCATATGGGAACCCACTGAAGGGTGAGTAAAGGGAGAAATCTCCAGTCTATCATCACCTGGAGCTTGCAGACAGAAGCAGCATGTAAAATCCTACTGTGCTTTAACTCACCTTAAAGCATCATTATAAACAATGTTTGCAAAGGAATGATGCTGTGAGAGTGTGTTTGCTTCCTCCTCTCATCTCTTCTATGCATTCAGGTTTTTGGATGCTGGTTAGAGGGGGGTCTGATGGGGGGGGTGGGGTGCTGCAGCATCCTCTGTGATTATTTCTGACTCCTTGAATGTAAAGCGGCTGTGATTTTACTCAGAGGCGTAGCCAGAAAATGTTTATAAGGGTGGCCAGGCAATAACCAATGTACACTGAGGGGTGGCCGAAAGCGGACAGGCACCAGAACCTCGGGGTCAGTCTACACTGATCCAACAGGAACCAGCACAACGTCTATATTTCTAAATAAAGACATATAGATAACAAATAGATGCATATATTTAAACACCCATCTAGATAAAAGGTATATGGGATAAAATTCTTTCAGGTTTGAGTTCTGGAGCGAACATCTTTTCCATCGTCATTACTTACCTACTTTTATCAATATCATTCTGCATAAAATTGTTATTTACAAGCACTAATATCTACATAAATTGATCATTTAATTGGTTTTTATAATAACAGTTATTTACAGTACCTATGATTTCACTGAAGACTCTTAGATGACTTGCAGAGACACATCATCTAGTTCTGAAAGAGCATGAATTCTGTACTAATCATTATATATATAATACATAATATATATTAAATTAAATTGTTTTGAATATTCTACCTAAGAGAAAAAAAATGGTAGGGGTGGCCAATGGCCACCATGGCAACCCTTGGCCCCCCATCTAGCTCCACCCCTGATTTTCCTCCAATTCTAAGCTTTAAAATGCATCATAGTGCTGACGGCCCCTTTAGGACCTCAGTACAGTGTTTACATCTTGCATGGCTGCAGCTCAGCACTCTGATGCAGATTTAGGCGTTTTTGTCACTGAGAGAAAAAGATTTGTCCTTTTTTAAGAGATTCACTGGCCGATGCTGTTTTTAGTTTCTCTTTGTAGTCTGACTTGCTGACTGTTTTGATTTTGACAGATTTACATTTTCTCTGACGACTCAGGGTGTAAAATGAACATCAAGCTCAAGAGAGAAGATAAGGTTTAAGCAGTATTTTATTTGGTTTTAAAACTAAAAAAGCCATATAGCTTTTTTGTATTTTGATAAGGAAGTAAAAAGAAAGGGTTTTATTCATCTCAGTAATCTCTTTTAGATCTTTTTTAGATCTAGATCAGTCTCGACTACAAAAACTTCAGCCTACTTTTTATAAATTTTCCATCCTGTCCTCTCATTTCTACCCCAAATTCTGAACCCACAACCCTAAACAGTCAGTAAGGCTTCTTCCCTGATTTTGCACCTTTCTGATTTTGAGTTGCCTCAAAATGTCTTTATCATCAACTGTGTTGACACGAGAAAACATAAAGGAATGTTTCCTTTCTCACAAGTAAACAAGAGTCTAGTACCTATTTTCAAGGTAAAAACACTTTGGCCAATAAAATAAATACTTATTTTACCAAAGTGACACACCGACTGTCATTTCTAATGCCTCAGCGTTTTGAAAAGGACAAATAAAGGTTTTGAAAATCACAGATGGTCTATAAATCTTTTAATAGTAAAATGACCAAGTTCAGGATTTTAAATTTTAACTCTGATTTTGAGTGAATGGTGAAGAGATACAGTCTAGATCAGTGGCGTCACCAGGGGGTGGCCA